TTTTTAATTTTCTTAAGTATTAATTTCCAAACAAAATGTCTTCAAAAATAGCTTATATGTTTGTTTTTTATAAAGAATGGAAATTTGTTAATTAGTCTCACTACTATATTTATGTATTAAAGTTCTTTATAATTATTACCTTTATCTGATTCTGGTATATGGGTATCAATACCATCATTCCTGTCAAAAGCATAAAAACTCATACAAATTGCATCACAATCATTTGGTATTTCGGATACACTAAATTTATAAGTACTGACCCAGACACTTCCAACTATATTACATATTACTTCGCTTGGCCACTCATCTTAAAAACATGTATACATATTGATTTAATCCAATAATACATAAAGAAAAAATATAATTATTTTTAATATTTAAATAAAAAAGCATATTGTTAACTATTCTACTGTTTAGTGGGTGTTGGATGTATCTCATCATTGATAAGTTAAATGTAATTGACGTGTTAAATTTTAAATCAAAGATAAATAACTCCATACAAAAAATGATTCTGATCAGAGTTGTATTAGCCTAATGAATGAATCTTAATATTTCGAAAATTACATTACGTATCGTAAAATGTAATCTGGTAATCATATAAGTAAAATTGTCAAGTCTCAATATTTTTGAATTACCACAAAATATCTAAAATCGTTATTCTCTGTTAAAGTATCTAAATTAACCGTCTGAATTACAACTATAAATATTTATTTATTGAATTAATTTCATTTTTTATAAAAAAAAAAATGATTATTTATTTACCTTGTGTCTTCGATGAAGGACAAAACAAAATATACAAAACAATCACTATTATGGTTTTCATTTTAATATTTAAATATAATTTTCGAGATGTTACTTTTACTTTAAATAATTTTAACAAATTACTCATAGAAAGTTATATTTTATTGTTGAAGGAATTTAAAATGAAGAATTAACCTCATATATTCATTGTTAAATGTTAAATAATAATTTTACTAATTAAAACCATACAATTTGAAAATCTGCGATGTATATTTATTTAAAATGTTTAAATATTTTGTTATGAAATTATATAGCACATGAGTAAATTAAAAATTAAAACATTATGATATAATTTATAATATGATAAATTTTAAATTAATTTTTTGGTAAATAGAAAAGTTTTTGAATTACAACAAAAGAATCAATATCTATTTATACCAATACAGTTGTTATTTGTTCTGCTCATTACACACTACAGCAGCACCTTTATAACATTTGCCTAGTAGTATATCTAAATATAATTCAAGAATCATTATACTCTGCATAATGGTAGTAATCAACACTAGAGCTGTCACTTATTTCACACGCACTATCTCTAATTTATTGTAGTTTGTTTATTATTTTGTCAGAAAAGTTGTCTACATACCTAATAAATAAAACTAAATTATCATAGCTTTCGTTTCATCAGCTATAGTATGCTAAAAATACCAGAACTTTTTTTTTATTTTTAATATTTTCTGGAATACAATATCTGTATAGATCAATAATTTTATTTTGTATGATTGTTAACGAGTTCATTGAACGGCTGTCAGATGTTTGAGATGAAATGTGCTCCTTTAGGCACAGAACTCGTGATTTTGCATGTAATTATAAAACTAGTAGGAACATTTAAATACTTAAAAATTGTGATTAGACACAGATATTTTGTTTTGTATGTGAACGTTTTAATAGGATTATTTAAATAGAGTTATTAAGTAGATTTTTTATCATTATTATAAGTCATAGGAAACTTGATATAACTGACAAGATAAGATAGGTGCTACTTACACATTACGACCTATAGTAGTACGTACTTACTTACTTAACCCAACTAAACACGCAACAGTAAAAGTAGAACTAAATACGTCGGTTTTTTGTAGAATTTATATTATAATTCAAAAGTTAAACTATAATCATAATATTAAAATTCCCATAGGGAATGATATACCTATCAAATATAATTTTTCATAGTAACCATCACAGGCATTTAATTATTAATTATTTAATACTCAAATAACTAGCTAAAATAAATATTATGTGATATACCTATCATTTTTAAAAAAGTGATAAAATAATTTTTTTTTACTTATTTTAGTGAATGAAAATAATTTAAATATGAGATATTAATAAGTAGCATAATGTAAATGGCATTACATTTCAGTATCATTAGTAAAATATGATTTTTATAGCTGTAACATCTCTACTTAGATAAACATATTATTTTTTTAATATTAAACAATGTTTACTTAACAAACATAAATTATTATAATGCCACAAAACTTACAATTTTGATTGTGAGTTTTAAAAATAAGATTGAAAATATGGTGAATAACAAGAATATGATATTTAAAAATAATATAATAAAGTAATATTGAAAATTGTCAAAAAATTCTCCTATTACTAATTTAAAGTATTTAAACCATTAAAAAGAATTATCTACATTATTATCACAAACTATGAGTAACAGCTTAACTTTTCCTTATCAAACATATCCTATCCAAATACCTGTGCTACTAATCAAACTTCTCAACTTATCTGTGCTATTTCAACCTATTCATTATCCTATGAAATTTATTGCAACCGAATAGTTTTTACCATTACAATCAGATCATCCGCCAAATTAAAATTATAATCATTTTTTAATAAATTTATAATTGTTAATGTTTTATTTATAGGTATTAACACTTATTTATCTAAATTATATAATATGTACTAAATGCTATTATAATTTTATATTTATTGTTCGATCTTTTTACGTGTTCAAAGTTTTAACTTCAAACTATCTCGGGTTTTGGACTTAGATTCGTGACCGTGCTTGGTCACCCGTCGGATTGGCGACATTATTGCGCTGGTTGCCCTAGTCTGGTAAACGACGCAGACGCCGGCCTAAACTGACAGACGACACTACAACAGTACTACAGTAGACAGTAGTCCATTTGTAGTGTTTTAATTATATTATTCGTTAGTAAACATGTAATTTTCCTAAGGATTATAGCCTCCCCGTTCTCCCGATTTAACATCTCCAGATTTTTTTCTGTAGGGTTATCTTAAGAAAGGTTTTATATAAACTGACCTCAAAATTTAGATGAACTAAAAAAAAAAACATTACGGCGGAGATTGGCTTTACAAATGTAAGCACACTTCATAAAGTGGCCACTAACGTAGTAAAACATGTTCGTACATGCATTAATGAAAAATGTGGCCATTTTGAGTTAATGTTTTAAAACATGCATAATGCGTTTGTATAAATAAATTCTAAATATTTAGTTATGTTTATATAAATACAGGTATAAGTAATTCAATAAAACTACTATTTCTTAATACATTTATTTTTATGTGTGTGACTTTGATCACCCTGTATAATAATAAAATATTACAACGTATTAAACAATTCGATTTTAAGATTTACCCGTTGACCGTTTATAGTTGAGTTGTCTGTCCACCAATAAAAGTATGCTAACGTGTAAATGTTTTCCTTGTACCTATACATTTTTATTTTATAAAAATAAATAGCAGATATTATGTTTGAATTGGAACGTTTTCTTTTAAAATTTAACTTGAATAAAAAAATAATTGCATATTATTGAGAAAATAAATTTATTTAAGTATATTTAATAATATTAAAGTAATTTATTTTAGTAGGTACAAGGGCAGTGAATTCCATTTGGCATAAGAACAACAAATTGTTAAATCGTTAAATTCACTCCGGCACTTAACTAAATAAGGACTCAATTATTTTTTCTTTCAAACATCAAGTTCGAGATAAAATGATAAACCATAGACATTAAAGATTGAAATGACGATCTAATTCGCCTGACTTTAATTTTTAATGATTTAATTTATGTAAAGTAAATCGTGTTATTGGTTTGTAATATTTGTAGTTTGTACCTCTATGCTCTTAGTGGAGGTAGTATTCATGGAACGGGACATAATATTATCATTAACAAAAAAGGTTGGCTATGCTGGCAAATCGGGAAAACCGTATCCGTTCCCTGCATGACACAACTAAATCAATTTTAACATTATTAAATTATTTATCCATAGTCTGCACTGCATCTTCGAGTCAAATCACCAATCGGCAATCGACCAGTCACCAGTGCTTTATTTTATGACGTCTTATTATACATTTGTTAAGACTAATTCAGTAATACACAATAATTGATGTTGATACCTACATTAAAATTGGAAGTAGGACGTGGTTAAATAAATAGTTCTTGGTGTTATACTTAAATACTTATTACTTTTTAATAGTTACTCTTACTACAGTTGTGAATTGTTGAGTGTGGACCTTGTGATAGGCGCTAGAAGTTCTAATAAGTGACAACAGACAAAATATTATTCCAGTACCTTAAGACTGGTGACAGCGACTTTTAAGGTGACTAATTATTTAAATTATCTAAATGTTTGCAATAGTGATCATATACATATAATAAGAATAGTGACTGGTGACAGATTGATCAGAGCGGTGACCATTATATACTTTTTATTATCGTGTCACCAAGTGTGTGCGTTTTTTACAATAAAGGCACAAACTGTGTCGCAGTGACAAAGTAGCAGCGAAGTGATTTTTTACGCAGCTTTAGTAAACGCTACACACTACACAGTAGTACAATACCAGAATTCAGAACTTATAGTCACTATCTTTGGTGTCTACTCTACTCTTTAATTGTTATTCGTCATACCAAGTATCAAGTATTTGAACTTAGCTTTTCTGATTTCTGACATCTGATAATAGTCACTTCTACTTATAAAGATCTAGTTCAAGGTCACTTTGATAATTATAATCCAATTTTTTGTACTCTTAAATATTTCTTAGTAAATTCATCAATACCCTTTTTATTTATAAGACTCTTAACTTATCTGCCAAATACTATTGTATTAATTTGTCATTTAAACATCTTTCTTGTTTCAGTGATCAATCTGACATTTCTAATTTATCATTTGTTGGACATTTTACTTACTTAATGTGCAGTGTGATCTTCAATCTATTCAATTGATATGAATCCCAATCAACCAAATAATGAAACTCCTGGTACTATAAATAAATTTTTTTTAAGCATGGCATAATTTGATACAATTTTGCTTTACAGGTTCCCAAGGAAAGAAAAAACAGAAAAAAGGTAAAAAAAAAAAAATATAAATATTTGTTCAATGTAATAGATAATGAATTTAAATACTCCATATATCCATTAAATATGTTTAACAAAATATCTAATGCTATTCACCCACAAATACATGATTTGTGTAATTGACTTGATGAGTATCTATTGTATTGCAATCAATCAGATGTTCGTTGTGTTTTAAATTTACAATTATGTTGTTTCTACATATTTTTTGTATCCCATTTAATTCCTTTGACTAATTTTTACTGACAAGTAATTGAAAATCAAGAGAGACTTGTAGAAATCATTAATATAGTTTATGAGTAAATATCTCCTATACAATTATCATTTATAAAACATGATTATCTATTTAATGTTTATCGAGTACATAAATCGTATGGAACTGATAACATTAATAATTATGCATAAGAAAATAAATTAAACACTTGTAGTTTTATAGTTTAACAATATAAATTTGATAGTATATAATTAGTTTTTACTTTATTTTTGTAATAAAATGTTAATATAAAGGAATAGGCACAAAATATAAGTATTATTTATTATCAACTAATACTGTCTATTCATCTATTGTATCTAATATGTAAATACCAGATATTTTGTCACACTTCAATATTTTGATGTACATATTAGCAACAAGTTACCAGTTATGTAGCCTTTATTGCGCATGCACAAGTGACTAGTTGCACGTTTTTCTCAATTATATAAATATGAACATAATATCACAGAATAATTCTGTAATAATATTATGTAAATGATAATTTGTTTTTAAGTTTTGAATTCCAATTTTCCCACTCATAACAATTTTAGTTTGATGTTAGTTATTTTAACTATTATTTTGTTTTTATATATATAAAATTATGGGATAATAGCACCAAAAAAGAGTACTAGTTCATGTGTATTTTATTTGAATTCTCTATACAATGATATAAATATCTCTTTACACTCGTCAGTTATAAATTAAGCCAAATTAGTCCATAATACAACCTTCACTCTTAAACAAGCACAATGTTCACCCTTAACTCTTTATAACGTCCAAGTTCCTTCATCTCCTACAGTTAAATATCTCGAACTAACACTTGACCGTTGTCTGACCTGAGTACATTATATTAAAACTAAAAGACTGGAGCTAAATACTATGTTGCGCATGCTTAAGATACTCCTTATTAACAATAAACATACCAAATTAAACTTAAAAAAACAATAATAAACATTTTAATTAATTTATTAAAACTTAAATGTATTAAATTAATAATGAATTGCAGCACCGGATCTAGGGGGGGGGGGGGCAATCCGGGGCATGTGCCCCAAATACTAGTCTTAAAGGGGCGCCAATTTCATATTTTGCTCCGGGTTAAAAAAATGTTAGATCCGGCACTGATGAGTTGAATTCTGTATGATATATTAAAGTAAAATAGATTATTAATCATGAAATATGAATAAATAAGTTAACATAATTATCTGACAAGTTGCTAGTACATGCACAGTAGAGGCTACATAACTTGCGATTTGTCTTTAACATGTACATCATTGACATTATGTATAATCTATAGGTCATGGCTCTATCCATTGTACATGGTCTAAGATATTAAGTCATTGGAAACTATTCAATAGCCAGCTCTTTTACTATCTTTTCAACTTTCTATACTATACTTCTTGGCTCTTAGTTCTTTTATTTAGTCATAGTTTATTTCTACTATAATATGTATTTGATAAATTGTGTAATCAAATTCTAAAGCAACGAAATATTGGACCTATGTTATAGCATATCAGTACTAAACTGAATAAATCTTCAATTCTGTCATGTGTTCATGACACTAATAATTTTAATGCTTAAGTCTTGAAATATTGACAAAAATAAAGAATAAAAATTAATTTACTACCATTATTATCAAAAAAACATAGTTATCGACTTTCTGGTGGTCCCAGGAAAAAAAGTTACTTTTTCCTTAATTCTAATGCTATATTCTATGACTTATGTTAGCGTGCGTAGTTCAATAAAATAATTGTATTTTGCTGCATCAAACATTTTGTGGTATGGCAAAACAATATGGTCAGAGTATAAAACCCATAGACTTGTCACATTTACATAGAAAGTGATATAATGCATTTTAATAATATTAGTCTATAATTTTAAGGATGCTATATTGGCAATTTTTGTCTCTATCTTACAAGTGCAAAGTGTACTAATTTTACATTCAGTAGTTCACGTCTAGTTTTGTTAGCTTTAATATTAGAGTGAATTGATCAATTATTTAACTTATGGTAAGAACTTCATCTGTGTTCTTACATTAATTTTTTACATTAATTTCATTTTTAAACTGCCCTATTGTATGTATTTAATTAAAAGTTGAATTATCATAAAAATCAACTTACAAACTCAATTAATATTCTTACCATTAGGTTTTAATAGATAAATTCACTATATATATATATATATATATATATATATTCTACTTATATTGAAGCTAACAAAGCAAACATGACCTACTGAATATAAATTTGGTATGGTGGTCCTCTTAAAAAATTAAATCAAGAATAAAGAATTTAACTTATCACATATTAGGTACCTAAGTGTTAATCTTTTAAATCATAGTACCATTTTATTAAATGTACATCAGATCAGACAAGTGACAATATATTTTGTGCTTAAATAAAATTCCCCTATGAGTAGTGTTTGGTAATCTAATCTTGCATAAGTTTTTTTTTAATTTAAATGTTTATTATCTTTATTTCTAAAGGTAATCAACAAGATAATTCAAATATTAATGTTGGGCAAAGTCAAGGATCATCAAAGTCAGGTAATTATAAGATCTATTTAAACTTTTTTATAAGGACACAATTCACATTTATACAGTCTATTCATCTAATGGAAAATTTCTTTAAACCAAGTTTTAATTTTGGTATCTAGATTAACATAAAAGTTAAAACTTATAACCAAATTTGAAGTGGAATATGTTGAAGTAATGTCAAATTGTTTTCTTTCTTTTTTTTTTAGCTATTTAACTTTTTTATTGGAATTTATTTCATCAAAATTACATGTCATTGGATATCTAAAACATATTTTCTTCAGATTTTGTTTAAGGCATTGAAGTTTCAATAACTTAATGTTAATTTAAAAATTTGATCTAACTTTGTTTGAATTATGTAAAATATTAATTAAATTAACAAGATGTTACTTTCTATTTTAGCTATTTTCCTGATGCCTTAAATATAAATACATTATTGTAAACAAGTCCTGTTTCCTAGGTTTATCTATTCTGTACATTTGATACACTAGTGTTTATTTATGTATTATTCAACATAATTTTTTTTTTAATTCTGATAAAAAATAATATAAATAATTAAATAGGGTTGAAAGACTTTCCACAAATGTCTCAAAATAAGCCAGATACTACACAGGAATTAACACAAAAACAAAATAAACCAAAAAAGGCAAAACAACAGCAAACTCAAAAACAAAACCAACCAACAGAGATTAAAACAGGTAAGGCTCATAAATATTCTCAAAAACAATTTGAAAATGGAAATATTATTAGTTTGTTATGACTTTGTCGTTCTTAATTATAATAACAAATATATATTAATTGACAGTGATTATTTTTTTATTGATACTTTTAAAATTTTTAAATACAGGGCCCTATAGTAATATAAATTTTGTTTAAAAATCAAAATTATTTTATTCATATAAAGTTACTTAGTAATAATAAACTATTTAGTGTCATAGATGATATTAATAATTTATGCTTTAATTATGTTTCTTAACACTAGTAATTTATTGAATAGGACAAAATGACTTTCCGCAAATGTCTGAAAGTAAGGCAAATCCGAAACAGAAACAAAATAAACCAAACGAAGGTAAACCAAAACAGAATCAACCAGCTAATACTAAACCAACTCAAAAACAATCTGAAGGTAATATAAAATGAAAGAAAATGAGATGATGACAAAATTGAAAATAGATATATTGAATTTAATCAGTTTAGAACGTTCTGCAAAAATATAGTTGTCAGTTTTTTCTCATCTTATTGAACTAAATACACCGACCAAAATGTGTTATTTATAATAGGGATAGGCAATTGATAGCCTTTGCTATATTTTCAAATTTGATTCTCAAAAGTTAAGATTTTCAAAAATAGAATAAATTTGTAAAATGTAATTTGTTTATCTGTATTCATAATTTATTTGGTTCATAGAATGTAAATTTTTTTACTGATATTATTATACAGCTAAATTAAATAACATCCTGTTGCTCCAAATATTTACACATAGATAAATCCATTAAACTTAAGTTAAAATAAAATCTGTTGCATAGACCATGTTATAAATTTTATCGGTTAAAAATTTACTTTATCACCAGTTAAGTTAAAAGCTGATTTATTACCGTGTAAAATTTGTATGATTATATTTCATTATCAATGTATTTATATGATTATGATAATATCAACTTGTATTGTAAGTATTATTTATTCGATAACCAGTATAGAGTATTGACCAACACTTAAAATTTGACAAACGTTAATTTATTATTATAGATTAAAATTTAACTGTAAAAATAATTTATTGATAGATTACAACAAGTTGGGTACAACTAACCAGGTATAAATATCTCAATATGTATCCATAGCTAATTGTCCAATTTAGCTTAATAATTTTTTAAATTTTATAAATTGGCTCTCTATTAACTTTATTTGTTAATCTTTGATCTATAATAATATGTTACTAATTCTATAACAAATGATAATAGGTGAATGATGTATATTATTTTGTGTACATCACAAAGTATGAATTATTATGGTATATCTATCTATTTTGTCATGAGAATATCAATAAGCAATGATTTATATTACATTTTTTCTTTTAATTTAATTTACTACAATTTTGTGTCAGGTAATAAACCACCTGGTGTGTCACAATCAGCTCCAACTCAAGGTAACTTAAAATTATACTTAAATATTGTTTTACTACTTACACAGTTGTATTTAATTTAGGAAATCAACAAATTGAACAACAAATAACAATATTAAAAAGTAATTTACTTATTCCTAAAAGAAAAAATCCTAAAGCTGGAGGTTCTTTGGGACGTAAAACTGAAATTGAAGTGAATCATCTTCCTCTTAACCTTGATAAATTATTCAAAAAAGTTGTTTACCATGTAGATGTACAATTTGAACCAGAACTACCAAAAAGACTCTTAAGGTAATTTATTTTAATAATATTAATAAATAATAAGTATTGATATGTTTATCTTTTAATATTGAACAGTTTTTATTCAAAAATTAATATTTATCATATTTATTATGCCATAATTATATTTGAAAAGTTTGCGTTTAAAATAAAATAAAAATACTCTGATTAATCTATTATTTGTTTTTGTATATTGTTGACAAAATAATACTATATTACGCTACAAATGATAAAAAATTATTTGGTAGTACATATATTTACATGTATTTTACTATTGAACTAATGTTTTTGTTATTATTTATTGGTTAATATATTATTATCTTTATAGAAATGCTTTGGAAGAATTTAATAAGAAACATTACCCAAAAGTTCATTTTGCATTTGATGGACGGAGAAATATGTATACTACAAAAGAGATAAAAGGCGTAAGTTCATGAATTAAAAATATATTTTTTATTATGCCACAAATGAATATCTTCAAATGGTTGATTTATAAATAGTAGAAAAACAATTTCAATCTTAATTTTAAAGATCATTTTCAATAGCGAATTAAATCTAATTATTATACTTTTGAGAATAATTTTCTCAGTTTTTTAGTTGTGTTAATTAGGAGAAAACGAAAATTTAAGAATAAACAATAATTGTAATGCAAAACCAGTTTTTGATGGTATATTTTTTGAATGTAACTCAAATATGAATAACTGTAAATATTAGAAATTTTCACTAAATGTTTATAATATTATTTTTTCTTTTTATACATTTTTTAGTTAACTCATAAGTATTTTGATTCTAAATAATTAATTAACAATTTTTTTTTGTTTTTTTTTTTCTATGTTAAGTATCAACTAAAAATGTGGTGCTGAGTTAAAATGTTCCATGTAATATGTTTCCATATTTTTGGAATACAATATTCCTCATAAGTATTGACTGTAAAATTTTAAAGATATTAACATGATTTTTTTTTTTTTTAATCATTTGAAGTTTAAAATTTGTCAATGCCCTAAATTTTTATAACTAAACCTCTCGAATTTATTTCAAGGTTCCTTAAGTAATTGTCATATTGTTAAGAAAAAAATCTTAAAACACATAAACTAAATTTTTGTTATTTTGTTGCAATTTAAAAATATTTGTGAGGATTTGAAACTTTTACATATATTATTATATTTTACACACATAATGATATTTTCAAATGTTTAGATTAATTTTATGCTTTTCCTACAGCTTATAGTAGTTTATATTAACATATTACTAATTGTAAAATAAAATATTATAATAATAAATGGCAAAATATTAAAAAGATAACATGCTGAGAGTTGGGTTTCTGCTCAGATTTTATATGCAATTGAATTCAAAGTTAACATAATATCCCTTACAGTGACCTACTTAATAATGAAGTACACTTTTCCTGTATTAAAGAGTAGTTATCTACTCTCCACTATTTTTTATTATTTTTAAAATTTTTTGAATAGTATATATTTTAAGATGTTATGGTCCTATAATTCATATTCTAGCACGCCTAGTGGTATTTAATCTAAACTCTGGTTGTTTACAAAGTATTTGCATACTTAAGAAAAATAAACTGTATTTATAAAAAAAATTGTATAGATATCTCAACTAATAAATATGTAGTGATTTTATCTTCAGAAGTAATCATTTTTATTTTATTTATTTATTTTTAGAAAACTGATTTGATATCTATATTAAATGATGAAAATAATAGAACAATTGAATTTTCAATCTCCACCTCGATTGTCAATAAAATTCAAATGAGTAAAATCGAGGAATATTTAAAAACTGGATCATCCAACAATCCCCCAGGGGAAGCTTTTCAAGCATTGGATATAATATTGAAGAACCGGCCATTTTCATTAAGGTGAATATATTATATATTTAGGAGATAATTATACTCATAATATGTGTTATGTTTCTAATTCATGTGTAACATAGAAAATTTACTTTATTTAAAATGAAAATATAAAAAAAAAATATGCTCAAATTATGCTCGAGCATAGTTTATATTTTCTCTATAAATTCAATAATCAGTAAATTTTCTCTGATATTAAATTAGAATAAGTTACACTAAGAATCCAGCATATTTACATGTTTTATATGTATGACATGTAAGTATGAAAATATCTTAAGAAATGATTTCCTTTTCATTTATATAAAATGACACCTAAGTAGTTACTGAATCGAATATTCTTAGTGCAATTCAGCAATATACTTAAATAATTATTTATCAATACTTAGTTTTTTTTTTTTATTAATCCAAGTTAAATCGACAAAAGTATTATAAAGATGTTATATGTGTAGTATGTATCCTATTTTACACTTTATGCTTAAGTTTTATATTCCTATTTTCTAGTAATGATTATATAATTCCACTGATATGTGTTATGTACTATATAAAAATTTATAAATTATTCATTTTCTTTTATTGCCAATCATTTAAAATTTGTTCGTGTAATAAATAAAAGACTAAATACTGAAGAGGCTTCAAAAAGTTAATGTGTTAAAATACATTTTTATTTAATTCTCATTTCAAAAAAAAACATTTTATTTTTAACAATTTTATTATGTCTGACTTGTTTCTCTTTATCATATTACTGAAATTACATTTATAATATGATGTACAAGAAATAGTCATTATGTTATTTTAGATGGAAAAAATGTTCTCTTAAAGGAAAACTGAAATAATGTCCCTGATAGTTTTATTCTTAAATTCAGTTCCCTACAAAGTTTTGATTGTTAAATTTTAATTAATTATAATTATGTGCTATAGATTCACTAATGTTGGAAGATCATTTTTCCCACTACCACGTATTACACCAGTTGACTTAGGCGAAGGAATGGAATTATGGAAAGGATTTTTTCAAAGTCCTGTTATGGGTTGGAAACCTTATCTTAATATAGATGGTAAGTACTAAGTAAAACATAATCATAATTCTTTTTTCTTTCTTTTCAAGGTGGTTTATGGTACAAATTGGATTTAGTTTAAAATTTGAGAGGTTGGTGGGAGAAATTTTTTTTTTAATGTTTAACTATTGGCATTTTATGTGAATTAAAAATATTTTAGCAATACAGTTTTTCAAAGTTTTTAAGTTGATATTAATATCATATGATATGATTATAACTTAGGTTCAAAAGTTGTAGAATTTATATAATTTTCTGTATGTCCTTAATTTATAACAAACCGAGCTAGAAATCTATTTTATATAGACAAGTTTTTTATATGAATGTTTTAATATTTATTTTTCAATCAGTGCAACTACATTATTATGTATTGTTATTGTTACTGACTAGTTATTTAATTATGACATGAATTATGTTTTTGTGCATATTTTAACAATTTTAGCTCTTAGGCCTTAGCTCTAATTTTTTTAATAAATTTTATTTGTTTTCGAAAAATATTTCAACCCACTCTACTTTGTTGCTAATAACAGAATAAATTGCTTATGGTTTAAAGATTTATTGTTAAATACACGTATATAACATTTTGTTATCACATTTATATACTATATGGCGTATTGGAAAGATAAACAGTATATACTCACTTCTTTAGTTGTTATTTTTTTAGTGTATGCACTATATACAATTACACGCAGGTATATAATCATATCACCCAATACACCTATAAGAACTTTCAGTGACAAACTCAAAATATTCTATAATTATTTGCAATTTTCAGATGGTATTCAGTAGATGTCAGGTTTCATCAAAAAATATTATTTTCACAACTAACAACTTTTTATTTACCTTATCTTGTTCAAGGGTATATTAAATTTTATGTAATTTTACTGAATTTAAATTTTTTTAAAGTGTCATTATCCTTCTCTATATTATTTACCAATTACAAACCAATCTCAGGATTGAATACTAAAGAAGAAGATTATTTACCATTGTCATATAGTTCTGTAAAAAAAGTATATATCCTCGGAATATTTTTAATAATACATTCCTGATTTTAATAACCTATTCAATGACTATTATATTATCTTTTAGTTTGAATTTTGGAAAAATTTTACTTTTTCGTCAGCTTAATAGTCTATTCAGAATCTGTACTACTATCAAAATCTTTCTAATATGCTATCTGATAGGTCTAATTTTGACAAATCCTTTACTCATTATGTCAACCAATTTGGGTTAGGGTGACCCTGGGGGGGGGGGGGTCTTGTTCTATTAGTTGATAATTTGCTCTTCATACATACCCAAACCATTTTAGTAATTTTATCATAATAGAGAAGAGTATATCAGGCTTGTTATATAATCTTTATATCTTCATTACTTTTTCTCTTTCATATAAGTATTTTTGAGTTAAGAAATAAGGATTAGTCTGTATATGGTTTGTAAATTTTCAAACATGATAAGTGATAACTGATAAGTCTTCTGTTATCACTTTTTATTAATGATAAGATTTTATAAATATATTATGTTATTACAGTTCAAAGGTATTATGGTATAGTAAAAATCTTAGATTTTTCTGCATAATAACTTAAATCTTAGGAGTTTAATAATATTGAAATAACATCTATTTCCACTCATGATTAATTTTTCATTTATTTCTATTATTGCTATTGATATTGACACTTTAGTATTTAAAATTATCAATTTTTTTTTAATTTTTAATTGTTTACTTTAATACTGTAGATTCTATTTTGTAGTCTTTTTGATACTACCATGTATTTAGTTTTCTCTTTCTTTACATGTAGTCCCGTTCCTTTACTTGTATTTATGAATTTAATGTTGTATTGATGACTTCTTCTTTGGTTTCACCCATTACTAAAATGTTATCTGCATAAACTTGCATAACTTGTTCATTGCTTATGTAGTTATGTCCATCTTTGTGTGTGTGTACAATTATTCTTTAGAGACCCGAGTTAAATAATGCAAGTGAAAGAGTTCTTCTGTCTTAGGCCATATTCCTTTTCAAAAGGATTTGAGATGCCTTGTAAAAAACACGCATTATTCTTCTAGTTTTTCTATAGCATCTTTTTATTAGGTTCTCATATTTTTTTGTCTATTCCCAAAACTATCAGTGCTTTGTAAAGCTTTTCTCTTTCTACACTATTATAAAACTGATTATAATCTACAAAAACTAGATGCAAGTCATCCTTTCCAAATTTAAATATTTTGACATGATTTGTCATAGTCCAAAATTGTTATGGTTATCTAATTGTAGATTTTTCTCTTTTAAACCCATATTGGTATTTCCATTTAGTATACAGGTTTATTCTATTTATTATTATTTATGTCAGCATTTTTAAGCATGTGTATGCTCAGTAATAAAATTCTCTAGAATTTTTTATAGAACTGAAGTTTTTAATTTTTAATTTAAATTAAATTTAGAATACCAAAATATCCTATCAATTATTTCCAAACTTTTTCCTTATTTAACTAGAATAACTGTGGATAAGTCTATAATAGTTTTTAAGAAGTATATTTAAAATAAGAATTTGAATACTATTACTTAGGTGCTTTAAAAAACTGGTAATTATATTTAAATGTACAATAGTCAATAATAGTAATAATAATATATTTAAATGAGTAAAGCAGTTTGAAATCTCATGCAATCTATTCTATTTTTCAACTTTTTAAATATATTAATTGAATTTATTAATATTTTATTTTAGTGGCACACAAAGGATTTCCCAAACATCAACCACTAATAGATTACATAGCTAATGAAATGCGTTGTGATCTCAATTCGGAAATGGATAATAGGAATTTCAACGCATTATCAGCTTATGTTAAAGGATTAAAAATTGACTTTATGGTTCCTAATCAACCCAATACAAAACGTTCTTACAAAGTTGTTGGTCTTCTTGACACTGCCTTTAAATTTAGGTAAACAAAAAAATATGAGAAATTAATCAATTTAATTGTATAGCAAATTATAAAAATTTAAATATGAAAATTAAAAAATGCTCTTCATTTGTTTTACTTTCAATATTGAGCTAAATTTGTTTAAACTATAATTTTAATAATTATTTTAGTAGTAATATTCTAATAACTTTATATATTTGTCAATTATATAGCAGATTAGTATAATAATAAACCTATTGAAATAGATGAAATAATTATGAAAATATAAACATTTGGTAAAAACACACTTAGAAAATAATATTAAAATAAAGTTAACTTCATTATTATTAGAATGATAAACAATGTATTAATATACTAGAACTATCTGTCTATCATATGCCACAGCAAAAAAGTAGTTGTTATCAAATCTAAGTTCTATTCTAAATCTTACTATAAACATTTTAATTGCTCAACAAAATATAAATTTATTCTATATTTTGCAAGATTACATTGAACAATAAAACATATTTTTGTATATACATAGATTATAAATCAATATATTATTTATAATGTGATTGAACTAAATAAAAAGCTAAATTATATTGTTTTTAATGAACAATCATCTTAAAATCAATAAAATTCTGACATCAATTATTTATATGTAGTTATATATTTTAAAACTATCCATAAATAATAAAATAAGTTTATCACTACAATTATCTGATTATCTTTTAACTTATAATTATTTAAACTGTAATGTTATAATCCCCAATAGTTGGAACAATTTTCAATTAGTGAAAAAATAGCAATCAAAATTGAACTTTTAAGTGAAATAATAACAGTTGTTGGCATTATATTTTTAGATTTGACATAGATGATCCTGTTAGAGGAAAACAGTCACTTAATGTTGTCCAATACTTCAGAATTGCACGAAACTATACTATAAAGTATCAAAATTTACCTTGTTTACATGTTGGCAATGTAAATAAGCAAACAGCTATTCCAATTGAAGTAAATAAATACAAATTAATTAATAGTTAAAAATTCTATATAATAGTTTAAAACCATATGGTTTTATATTTTTGTTATTTATTCAATAGCATCTACAATTAATTTGGTAGAATTATTTTTAATAAGTTTTATACTTAAATTATTATTTAATTCATTTTTTAGCTATGCGTTGTTCAAAGGGGACAATTGCGTTTGAAAAAATTAACTGAAATGCAAACAGCTACAATGGTGAGGAATGCAGCTCGGCCTCCTGCAGAACGACGACAAACTATTGAAAATTGCATCAAAGACATTAAATACAATCAAGATCCTGTATTAAATGATTTTGGCATTGATGTAAAGGAACAGTTTGCTTCAATACCAGCAAGAGTTTTGGATCAACCTGATTTGGCATATGGTCAAAATAAGGTAATCTTTAAAATATTTTAGTAAATTGGTATTAGAGTTCAGTTGATTTATAAAGTAATCAAAAATTTATTTTTTGATCTCATCAAAGTACATTTTAATTTTAATTCAATGTTGAATAGTTTATACAATATATTGTATCGATGATGTTTTAGAGTCCTTATTTTTATAATAATAGTTATGATGAAATTAATGATTTTTTCAGTTTCAATTAACCCTTTGATCATTTTGGAAATATTTACTTTCTTTATAGAAGAAATATGCTATGTTTTAAGAATGTGAATATCAAAATCTTATTTTTGTTTATAACTAAAGACCGGATTTATATTCTCTTAAAATACCTCAAATATGATGCTGATATTTTTAAAAAAAAATCCTTCAAATATTCTCATTATATTCTCATAAAAATCTTAAAAATATGCAAAAATAATCAACAAACATCAATATATGCGCTAATATGTATTTTTACAATTTCTTTTTTTTTTTTACATTCTTTTAAACGTGAGGTAGGTATTTATAGTACTTGCTTATTAAAATGGAATACTATTGTACATCAGTAAGTGTAGGAATATTGTAAAAATATTACAGTATAGTCTATATAGTATTAAAATGTAAATACAATATTCCTTTGGTATAGTTTAATTAAATGTTGTATTTAACACTATAGTCATAATATGAAAAAATAATAAATAATAATAAATACAAAACATAATAAGTTTTTAAAATTGACTGACTTTTTTAATTTATTCATTTTAACGTTCATATAAAATTACTAATTACAAGAGTTAAAAATAGAAAAGAGTAAAACAAAATTTGAATGTTTGAATATTTGATAAACTTATACGTTGATCTTATCAGTATGAAAACAACTGCCAGAATTGCAGATCAGCCGCCATATTTAGTGAACGGTGATTTATGATTAAGTGCTATCATGAGTTGGATGTTTTTTTTTTTTTTTTATCACAATGATTTTCAGAATAAAATAAATAATAAATGATAATAATAAAATATTTTTTTCACACAATTTATAAAATATTCTCAAATATGCAAAAAAAACTTTTTTCTATGAACTCAGAATAAAACGAATTGACCTCATATTTTACTCTCATAAGACTGCATAGACCCAGTAACGATATGTAAAAACATATAAATCCGGTCTTTATTTATAACATTGATATACTTTTAGTTATACTCTCAATATTAAAAAAAAAGTAGTTAATAGTAAAAAGATATTGTTTTTTAAATTGGTTTATTTTTTATTTTTAACATTTTTCCAATAATTTAGTTCAAACCAAAAACTTGTTAACTTTTGAGTAGTATAATAAAATATTTTGTATTAAATCTTCTAGTCATTATTTTAATTTTATAGAATTATATGCATACAAATTCTTAAAATTCTATTTTAAAATTTAATTTTTATATATACAGTCGACTCTCGGTAACTCGAACCTCGATAACTCGAAATTCTTGATATCTCGAATAAATAAAATTCCCCTTCAAATAACAATAACACTTAATGTTTAAATAATCTTGTTAACTCGAAAATTAATTTGACAAGTTTTTGATATCTCGAATTTTCTTATCCAAATTTAGTACTAAAAATAGTTTATCAAGGCGATTATTTTTCGTAAAACCCGACCGTAATTTAACTCTTGATAACTTTGATACAATCAGTTTTAGTTCTGCCGTCTGTTCGTTCGGTTAATCGTTTATCGTGTGAGTGTGACAGTGTTAATCAGTGGTTATTATGGCTCAAAAAAGAAAATTAACAACATTATCACTTGCAGAAAAAGTGAACTTGCTTAAAATTATTGAAAAAGGCGAAAAAAAAAAACAAGACATAGCCAAAGATTTTGGAATTCCGGCGAGTACATTATCTACAATAATAAAAAATAAAGATGTAATTTTAAAAAACTTTAACGAAAACTCGGCAACTAGAAAAAAAATGAAACTAGGAGAATACTCTGACATAGAATCATGTTTATTAAAATGGTTTCAACAATGTCTTGACAGAAAAATTCCAATTAATGGACCTATTCTACGAGAAAAAGCTGAAGAGTTTGGACATAAGTTAGGGCATGAATATTTTAAAGCTAGCAGTGGATGGTTAACAAATTGGAAAATCAGAAATAGCGTTGTATTTAAACAAGTTTGTGGTGAAAGTGGCGCTGTAGATGTACAAAAATGTTCCGTATGGATAAATAATTTACCGAAACTCATCGAAAATTATTCACCAGACGATATTTTTAATGTAGATGAAACAGGATTATTTTTCAAATGTTTACCTGACAAAACATTCATATTTAAAGGCCAATCTTGTTCAGGTGGAAAACATAGTAAAGAAAGAGTAACACTTCTGTTAGGGGCAAATATGTCGGGCACAGAAAAATTAAGACCACTTCTGATTGGTAAGTCGAAAAAACCACGATGTTTTAAACAAATAAAATCATTACCATTAGATTATTATGCAAACAAAAAATCCTGGATGACGTCTGAAATTTTTAATTTGTGGTTAATGAAATTAGATAAAAAAATGGTCTCCGAAAAAAGAAAAATCTTACTTTTTATTGATAATTGTACTGCACACAATTTAACCTCGACTTTTAATGCTATTAAAGTGCAGTTTTTACCTCCTAATACTACGTCTGTATTACAACCATTAGACCAAGGTATTATAAATAATTTTAAAATATTTTACAGAAAAGAAATGGTAAAAAAAATTGTATCGGCTATAAATGATACCAATCAAATTGTAATAAACATATTGGATGCTATACGGCTATGCGATAAAGCATGGCGACACGTAAAAAAAGAAACGATCGTAAACTGTTTTACAAAATCAGGTTTTAGAACTTCGACTGAAAATATTCTAGATGAACCTTCTGATGATAATAACGATGAATGGGATCAATTAAATCTTAATGAAACTTTTACGTCATACGTCAATGTCGATGAAAATTTGGAGATTTGTGGAGAATGGACTGAGAACGATATTATCTCCGATATATTAGACGAAGATAACGAAGAAGAAATTGAAGACCAACAAATACAATCCACCATTACAAATAAAGAAGCGAAACTTGCATTAGAAACATTACGTAAATATATTGAAGGCAATGAAGGTATGGAAGATTTATTTAAACCACTAGGTACTTTAGAAAATAGAATTGAGAACAATGTTTTAAATAAACAAAAACAATTAACTTTACACCAATTTTTTAAAAATGATAATAATATGTAAGTAGGAATGTAAGAAAACATTTTTTTAATTTTTTTAATGTATAATACTTAATTTAAAAATAAACATACTTTTTAAAAGTTTTTGATAACTCGAAATTTTTAGTAAGTCGAATTTTTTTTTTCCCCCTTGAACTTCGAGTTACCGAGAGTCGACTGTATAATTAAACAAGAAAAATCCTGGACTTTATGTTATTTAATCATTTTTATCTATTATCATCTATATAGTACTTTTAGAATAGCTAATAAAAGTGAATACATAATTATTATTATTATTTTTCAGAACGTTACACCAGGTGCTGGTGTTTGGAGGGTTGAAAAATTTTCTAAAGCTGTTCGTATTGACAAATGGGTTGTATTGAATCTAGACCCGCGTACTAACATGCAAAGCATTAAGTAAAATTGTTACTTATTTTAGTTTAAAAAAAATACTCTTAACTAATTCTTTATTTTGATTTTATTTTAGGATATTTGAAGGTCTTTTGATATCGAGTGGTAAGAATTTGAATGTTACCGTAAATTCAATGGATCCTGTGATGAACTGTATTGTGCAAAGGAATGGTCGTATTAGTGAAATAAACACCTTAATTGGGAACAAATTTACAATGCTAAAAAGTCAAAAAGTAGAATTAGTTGTGGTTATTATTCCAGATTGTCCTACTGGAATTTATGGTAATAAAAAAAATTATTTTGTGAAAGAGTAACTTATTTATTCTTCTAACTCAAATCAAACATATTAATATTCAATTTTTTTTTTTTTTTTTAATAAAAACATTTAATATGTGTGATGTAATCGTTTTCAAGGAATTTGAATGTATTATTAATTATACAATTTTATCTTATTTTATTTTATTTTATTTTAGCTGCTATTAAGCAAAAATCAGAGTTGGAAATTGGTATTCTTACACAATGCATTAAATCCAAAACAATGCTTAGAATGAATCCATCAACATCTACTAATATTCTACTCAAAATAAACTCAAAATTGAATGGAATCAATCACACTCTTGCTAATAAAAGCAGGTAATAATATGTTAAATGATTAAGCAGTTCAAAATAGTAGAGAACAATTTAACTATTTAATTATTATTTCTATAAGCATGAAGCAATATTCTAAATTAAAATGTATATTATTTGAATTGTCAATTTTAATGTATAACAAAATATTAAATTAAATTAAATTTTTATATTTTAATTTGAGTTTAATTCTCTATAACTTTAATTTGATTTTAAGTTTTAAATTAAATAATTCATTATATTCCAATTATATAATTAGAATTCCAACTAATATAATTATAAACTTTTTAGTGATAATATTTATATTTAGCCATTTAAAGTATAAATTAAATCTTTTCATGTTAATTAATTGCTTAATAGAAGTCTTGTGTTTCATAATCAGGACAGATAAATATTCTCATTTATCTCAAATTGTGACTATGAATTTAAGTACAAAACTGTAATAATTTGAAATTTGAAATATAAATGATAACTTTCAATCATGATTAAAACAAAAAAGTGTATTTCATTAAAAAAAAAAAAAAAAAAACTTTTTAACTATTCAAAAATTATAATAGAAATGTATATACTTTCCAAATTTTAAAATTCAGTACTTAATATATTCTTGGTTGCATTAACATTCACTAAACATTTTATGAATCAATATTGGACTAAACCCTATTCAGTTTAAGTCGACCCACTCGTCAGATGAAAACTGGTCGTGATCGTTCACCCAAGCGCCAGTGTCCAATATCACATTACCACCTGTTGAATATGCACTGCGGTAAATGTTGTATACTTGACGGCAGCTGTCGAGTTCCAGTAGTTAATAATAATATAATAAATTGCAATAAAAATAAATAAATTCTCATTTTAATCAAATTGTACTCTGGTCCCGTATGGATCAGATTATCAAGGCTATTATAATTTAAAATTTTTGATGTTAGATGAATTTCTTTATAGAAATGAGAAATTAATAAAAATATTTTTTAATTATATATATTTTATCAAATAACATTTTTTATACTTTAGTCCGCCTAGCATGGAAGGAGCAATTATTTTTGGAGCTGATGTGACACATCCATCTCCTGAACAGACTACTATTCCATCAGTTGCTGCTGTAAGTAAAATTGAATTTCATACTATTGGAATAAATGTAAATAATAATTCTTAAGTTATAATAAAAGTTGAATTTAATAATGTAAAAAAAAAATTAGCTGTAAGTTACCTATTCTAGAAACTTAAGAACATTAAGATTTTTAAAAAATTTGCATTAACTTAAAGAGAAATTATTATTGTTTACTAAAGAAAATTGATCAGCACAGTATACCTCTTATGTTTTTTTATTTTCATTTAGATAATCTGTTTGTATGATTTTAATTATTGAATGAAAGTTACTTATTACTATTTGTTAGTCTTTGTCTTCTAGTATTTTTTACATTTAACATTGAACATCTGTGTCTTGTAAAAAATAAATAATTATAGCACTATTTTTTGTAATCTGATTTTAAAGTTTTTTAGATATTAATAGTTCTTAAATAATATTTTAAACATATTTTTCCATCTTAGGTAGCAGCCAGTCATGATGTTTATGGAAGCCAATATAATATGGAATGGCGCTTGCAATCTCCCAAAGTTGAAATTATTCAAGATCTAGAAGACATTGTTCATATACAGTTGCTTAAATACAAAGAAAAAACAAAACTTGTGCCAAAGAAAATATTTTATTTTAGAGATGGTGTAAGCGAAGGCCAATTTCTACAGTTGTTGGAATATGAACTAGTTGCTATTCGAAGAGCTTGTCTTCGACTCAATATAAACTACAAACCTTCGGTGACATTTTTGGTCGTACAGAAACGACATCACACTAGAATGTTTCCCAAGTTTAGATGTGATATGGACGGCAAGTTTGCCAATGTTCCATCTGGTACAATTATAGATACTCAAATTACCCATCCAACAGAACTCGATTTTTATTTATGTAGCCATGCTAGTATTCAAGTTAGTTATTATAAATATAATAATATGTTATATTAACCTTAAAAGCTAATACATTATGTTTTTTTTTTTTTATTTATCAAGGGCACATCAAGACCGACCAAGTATCATCTCATATGGGATGACCATAATTTCACTGAAGACCAGTTGGAACAACTGACATTCTACTTATGTTTTATGTTTGTACGTTGTACTCGTTCTGTTTCATATCCGGCACCTACATACTATGCTCATTTGGCTGCATTTAGAGCACGAGCTTATATTGAAAAGTTAGTTATTTGCTTACTGTATTATAATATAACAAAAATTGATTTATTTAATTAATTTATTATTATTTTATAGCAAAAACATTAACCTCAGTCGTTTAGATGATGAGCAAAACAAAAATAAGCTGAATGAATCATTCACTATTAATACTCCTATGTTTTTTGTTTAATTTTTTTTTAAACAATGTTTTATTTTTTTGTAATAACTCATTACTTTTTATTTAAAATAACATCAATTTATTATTACTATACTATCTCGAATAATTATTCTTATTTGATGATGTACAAGTTTTTTTTTTTATTATTACTTTACTTTTTTGCTTGTATTTCATATTATTATTTTAATAATAAAATGATATTCCTACTTTACATATTGTATTAGTATATTTAATACATTAAAACATAATTAGTATTGATAACCAATTTGCAGTTATTTATTTTTAAACATCTATCAAGTCATTTATATTTCTACACAAGATATAACCACCACTCCTCCTCAACTGATATCTAGGATTAGTATGTAGTTATATTGTTCGTATGATTTATTATTTTAATGTATCCATATTTTCCATGCTTTTTTTTTTATGATCGATTTCTTTTCAATCTTATGATGAATAATCACTAAGTACTTAATGAATCAATTGTGAACCAATAGCCCCCTCAAACATGATTTACTAGCTGACTTGCAGCGCGTAGCCACAACCTTAAAAGGAAGGAAATTTAATATACATTATTGTTTTTTATTGAAGCGTTTTTAAAAAAAGAATAGAATTAATTTTAATTAATTTAATCAAGTTATTGTAGATATTTTGTGGACACTGTTTATTTTGTTTCGCTTTCTGGTGCATACACGAATTAATTAGAAGGTTTTGCGACGTGTTGGTACATACTGTTGTCATGTGAGAAGCACGGATTCTCCAAATTTAACTCGCACACCTGCAGCGATTTACGATTATCCTTATGATTTATTGATGGTCATTGCAAAAGCTAGTCGCAATGGCAAAGTTTGAATTCATATGATATATCTTTTGGGATTATTGAAATACGTGACAACAGTAGTACATCTTGCCTGTCGAAGTTTTGATTCATAATTGTAGCTTCAATGACATCGTCCTTCATTTTTTTTCACAGAATGTCTTGTATTGTGGCAAAGCTGTTGAAGGTGGATTGATACTTCAGAGAAGAATTTTAATGTTAAAATATCTGGTGGTAAATGACAACTTTGCTTTGATTCATCACAGTATCAACTGACGTATACGTTGTCGTTTTGCAAAGTATTCCGTTTTGGATGCTAAAATTGATAGCATTAACATCGTTGTTTGTAGCTATTACTAATATAGCACGTGCACTGAACTATGGATGATTTTTGTAATACTACGAGATATTTGAGAAAACCGCATGAATTAAACTAATAAAAATTTGTTAGTAACGTGATACATTGTGTAGATCTGTCTATTGTGTACATCTTCACATTCACAATATCCAGTAATTGTTTTACGAAACATTCGGCGGATGCATCATTTTGTAATTCAACATGCATATTGGTTTTCAAAGTAAAATTCTTTACATGTCACCATAGAACTGACCATTTGAGAACTACATAGTACATTAAGTTTATCGTCAGGTATTGAACGTGAAATAACTGACAGGATTTGTTGAAAAACATCAGAAAATAAAATCAGTACTTCACTAAAAAGCTTTCCATTTCCTCTCAAATCTTTCAGTATATGACCAAACGTTTCCAATTTTTATTGTATATTGTGATGAGTTAACACGTTTAAAGAACCTTGCCCAGTTCGGGAATTCATGGTGATATTACATGTTAGCGTGTCAGTGATTTTCAAATTCAATGGCAATTTCAGTTCCCTAATCAATTTTTCATGAAAACCAGCAGTAGTGTATTAAAATTTTAAATTAACATTTAACGTACTTAATTGTGTTTGCTATATGCATTATCGAAGAGACATACGTTAAAACTTAGCAACTAAGTTACAATATAAAACTATTGATTATCTACTGGAAGATTAGATAAAAAGTCGGAAATGACAAGTACATTATTTTTAAGAAATTTGAAAGAATTGCATAATATCAATAAATATATAATAATATCATATATTATGTTTATATATAAATATATAATCAATATCCCAAACACATTATTAATTAGGTTTAGCTAGCCAATGCTTTTTCTGAATCTTTTTGCTCAGTGTCGATGATGAAATGTGATATATTTTAATCTTACTAGCCAACTGTCAAGTTAATTATTTTGAATTTAAATGTTAGATAAATGTAAAGTACCGTGTAATTTATCAAATGGATTTTTGGACAACTTACGTTTCTCATTGAATCACGTGTGTACCATTAAGCGCGGTACTACTGTGTAATGATTCAAATTGCAATAAAACAATAAAATATGTTAATGTGACTCCAATGATCTATAACAATAATCAAAAAGAAAAAAAATGAATTTTACTATGACATGTAGGCAATTAAATTAATATTTTATTCTATTAATATATACATATATAGTGACAGTATACGCTGTCGTTTATCTGCTAGCTGCATCTGCACGTGCCTACGCCACATGTCTCACATATGTAACAAATGCCCATTGTATTTCCCTGTGTTTGTTCCGTACGAGTATCGTTACATGTTCAGTGTAGAAATTATTTTTCATATTATTACACATTTACAGATAATCTGCATCGTGATTTCTAAGGATGATCTTACGAAAATTGTATTAAAAAATAATACAGGACATAGGTAATAACAGTGCGTGTGGTCTCATGAGAAATTGGCGATGAAAAAAGAAGTCATAATCAGCCCAAAAACATGTACTAGTAGGTATTTAAAGATACAATAATTATTTCTAGTAATTTTCTCCTCTGAAGTTGTTGTTTCAAATTTTTTTTGTACGGCCAGTAAAAATCGATATATTTCCACAAAGACTTTTGTTTCAGGTATAAAAAAAAAAAAATCATATTTCTTAAAAAATATACACATTTCACACGTCGGTATACACGATGAGTGACTTTGGCCTGAGACCGCGCGAAACTCGGTCATTTTTATGCGTAAGCGAGTTGCGTTCTTTCAAAGAAACAGTGGCGTAAATTGGGCTAAATTGTTAGGGTTGCAATCAGTTTCTAGGTTAGACAGACTTGTGGGGGGCTTTGCCCCCCACACCCCCCTAAAATATTTTATTTTATTCTAGATTTAACATTACAAGTACATAAATTCAACAAAACTATTTTAACCTTAAACACATATTGTATCTATTGGCAATTAGTATTATGAATATACGCTATAAATAGGGTATATAATTACTTACTGTCAATAAAATATTTATAATTTTCTTAAACAATATATGAGTACATTAAAAAAAAACAATTTTTTTATTTTATAAAATTTATATTTTAATAACAGCTGCCATTTATATTTTTTGTGTAATATAATACCTAATACAATATAATATATATATATACATTATAGGTAGATTTAAAATATTAGTTGGTTTTTTACTGAGGGAATAATATCATTTACTGCAGTAGTAATCGGCGGCCTCTACATTCTGCGGCAGCACTGAATTTTTCTATTACTAAATCTTTATCTATAAGAGATGATCTTTCACGTTCAATTTGCAAGATTCCAAGACTGTTTAATCTTGATTGTCCCATTGTGGTTCTTAAATATGTTTTTAACCTACGTAAACAAGAAAAACTTCTTTCGCATGATGCGGAGTTAGTTGGTATAGTAATAAATAATTGTATCAAACTTGTTAATGTTGGAAATCCAGCTTTATAATTTTCTGATGCAATGAAATTGATTTTTGATTGCACATTACTTTGATTATGTACAGCTTTATACATCCTATTTAAAATTTTTGTTTCTGCTTTAAGATTATCCTCATCAAAACCATACATTTTATTTATTTCTTTAAAAGAATTATTATTTGGAGTATCATTTAAGAGTATGTCTTGCATACAGTTTAAAATATATAAATTATTTTCTTCAAACCTTTCACTCATGTCATTTATAATATTATCCAGAACAGCAAAATATATATTTATTTTATAATGTTTATTTATGGTAGTATTTTCAACCTCCTTCAATCCACCGCCAAGTTTAGCTGGTATTTTTTGCTTTCTGGGAAGTATAGGAGAAGAAACATTATATTGTTTTCTTAAAATGTCTACTTCATTCCAAGTGTTATTAAAACTTTCTTCACACCGCATATTGCATAATTCTTGTATTGTTTCTTTTGCCATTGACTGTACATTACTATAAATTATTGAACTTGATTGTAAATACTTTGATAAAATATTAGTTAACAACAGTATCTTTTTAAGAAAGTATATACAAAATAAAAATTCAAAAGTATTTATTGACTTTAGTAATGCATTAGCATCAGATCCATAAACAGCATCATTTTCCGAAATATCTTCTAATGTACTAACCACAGTTTGAAAATTGAATAAAACCGCCTTGAGGGCATCTAGTCGGCAACTCCACCTAGTATCACTGAGACTTTTTAAAGTTTTAGGTCCTTCACATGTACTTATATTTAAAACTGAATACATTTTTTCAAAAATTGCATGCCTCTTGGATGATGCACCAATAAAATTATGTAATGTATTTAATGTTCCAAATACATTTCTTACATAAGATACTTGTTTAGCCAAATCTATAAGGCATAAATTTAAAATATGTGCATTACAGTGAATGTACATTGCTAAATGATTTTCTTCTTTAATTCTTGCTTGTACCCCTTTATACGACCCTCTCATTGACGCTGCACCGTCGTAACACTGCCCTCTCAAGTTTTCTATTTTTAAACCATGAGATACAAGAGTTGATTTTATTAACATTGAAAGTGTTTCTCCATCTGTATTTTCTGTTTTATAAAAACCAAGAAAAACTTCTGCTGGAGATAAATCTTTTGTTGCGTATCTTATAATAATTGCGACTTGTTCATGTCGAGACAAATCTTGAGTTTCGTCAACTATTATACTGAAAATACCCGCAGCTATTACATTATCAATTATATTTTCAATAACAATATTAGCTAAATACTCAAGAAATGTATTGGTGTAATCACCACTGACATAACGAAATGTCTTTTCTTTTTCAATAAAATATCGTTGAATAATATCATTATCTTTAGCACGAAGTGTTAATAGTTCTAGAAAGTTTCCTTTGTTTGAAGAGTCTTCGTCTTCTCTATGACCTCTGATAGCTATTCCTTGACGAGCACAAAAAAGTAAACTGTCTAAAATACATTTTAAATAGGCTCGATTATCAGCTACTATCTGCTGATGGTGTGTATTAATTTTGCTAATTATACTCCCAGATTTCTTAGAATTTTTATAACCAGCTAATTTGGCACTAGCTTCTTTGTGTCCAAATGATTTTTCATGCTGAGGAAAAGACTTGAAACTAGCTTTTGACCATTGCTTGAATCCAACACTAACAAAAGTTGGATCTGATGTTTTAGATGGAAAAACACGACAGTAAAAACAATATGCAGAGTTACTGCTAGGACTATATTCTATCCAAGGAAAAGAAGTATACCACTCTGTTCGAAATTTTCTTCCTAAATGCTGTGGAAATATAATGTTATTTGGTTGATACGGTCCAAACCCACTTGAAAATAAAATTAAAGCATTTGTATTCTTATGACCAGGATCTCGATTAAGATTGTCACTTATCTAGATAAATATATATACTTGAAATTAAAATAAATTTTAACAAATACCATATACAATTATTCAATTTATTAAAGAGTATAAAAATGAGTGAATATTGACTATTTTGTACAACATTTAAAATTCTACAAATTGAAATTATAATTATTTCAATACTTGTTTTATGTTTTGTGATTGCATGTACATACTATTTAAAATTCAAAACTTTTATCATTGGTTTAAAGATTAAAATTGAATGCAATATTTTATATTTACCAATAGTGTATTTGTAGTTTGATCTGACTTTGATGTACCTACATGGCTAGATATAGCATTCTGAATTTGATTTATGTCCTTGGTATTTGGTAGAATATCCTAAAATGATCAATGAAATTAATACAAACATGATTTATATACATATTTATCACTTTTATACTACACAAAATAACCAATACATTTACTATTATTTATTTAACGTAGGTAACTAGTTACAGAATTTTCACTTTAAATTTATTAAGGTAAAGTGTTTACTGTTAACCAAAATATCCTTAAATATTAAATGATATTAAATTAATATAAATTTAATTTTAATAAATTGTAAATGAATACTAAAGATATGATATGAAATTAAGTATTAACTGTATTTACCATTTTTGATCTTTTTTCTGGGGAAAGGTGGTTTTCTTCAGGTAAGTTAACATTTTTCTCAGCATTAGTATTTTTCTAATAAGCAGGTACAACAATTTATTAGAATCAAAATAATAAAAAAATATATAGCAAAATAAATTTAATTTTCCCAATAATATAATATTACCTTAATAATTAATATAAAAATTAAATTACAGATCAAAAATAAACTGTTTTATTCATCAAAATTGTAGTTTTAATATAATATAAATCAGTAATATATTTTAATGGCTACTCTTAACTTAATGTATACTAAATATGTGTACTAAAGACTAAACAATTATATGAATTTAAAGTAAAAATAGACACTTACTTTTGACTTCGATACTTTTATAAGAAATTTGTCCATTGTAGTAAGTACTTAATTTTAAGTCGATCACGAATAAGAAATAACAAGTGTAAAAATTAAATTCATGAATAAAACAAACAAATAGTAATTTTAAACTATGAAACACGTTTTCATTATCAGCTACCATTGAGACTCGAGTCGGCCGATCACAATAAATATACATATTGGTATAATAATAGAAAATTATTAATAACAAAACTATAAATAAATGTGGAAAGGATATAGTATAATAATAATTCCAGTGCTTCAAGACAACGTTAAACATTGGTTCTCAAAATATAAATTAGTTAGTTTATTATTATATTGATATTTCAATTTTTTGATAATTGAAATCGTAATTTTTTGGAGTCGCAAAAAGATACTCTTGCGACCCTATGATATTTTCAGGGGTTGCAAGTGCGACCCCGTGCGACCCCCAGTTTACGCCACTGCAAAGAAAGTACCGTAAGTACCTATTACCCAGTATGATAGTCGTCTATAATCTATATTATGTATATTATTAATAATAATTTATTATATTAGATCATTATTAAGTTATACCGTGGTTATGAGAGATAGATTTAACGTTATTAGACCACCACACGCGTGTACGATGACTTTGCGTGCTATTACTTGACGCATAAACTCCTGCACCTGTTAACAGAAGATTTAAGTTAGTGTATTATTGGTATAGCAGAAATCAGAAATATGATTTTATAATATGAGTTAAATATGTCATTACTGTATTAAAAAATAGAATTTTCATAATTACACCTATCGTGTCTAAAAAATGTTGATATATATATTTTGTGAAAAGTTGAAATCTTTACAGAACTTAAATAATTTTGAATTATACATCAAAATAACAAAATCTTTTATTTAGTCAGAAACTGATATTTATGCGAAAATTCCGATTTTATATTTTTTTTATTATAGCATGGCTATAAAAATATGAAGTTGTAATAAAAATAATTTTAAAAATTTGTTTTCTCGACATCAATACGTTTTTAGTGTTAATAAACTGTACGAGTTATGACCAAATAGTATGAATATATAATATATATACCTATATATATAGGTTAGGTTATATATACCTATAATATATAATATGTATATATATATATTAGTATATTACAATATAATAGGTATAATACATAAATACGTAATGTGTACATATAGTATAGGTATACATTTATATATTAGATAATATGCCACAACAAAAATATTCAATTGTCATAAACTCATGGATTCGTGATTAAACGTTTAATGTTTTTTTAAATAATCAGAATTTGTATTAAGTACCTAGTCACCTAGGTACATACCGTGGATTTATAGATTTTGAACAAATTAAGGGAATATTATGGATTATAGCTATAGCTGACTGCCTGACTATAACCTAATATAGGTTATATATGTTACGGGTAATGTTAACATTCGGATAATGTCGACATTATCCGGCTAATGTCGACATTAGCCATCCATGTTGGCTAATGTGTAATTTTTCGTTTATAAACTTGAAATATCAACATTATCCGGATAATGTTAACCTTAGCCAGTCAATTTTGGATAATGTTAAAAGTTATGTACTATTTAATTTATTTAAGTTTCATCACTGCTTGGTATATTAATTTAACGTGACCACTGACCCCAGCTTATCTTATCTTAACTTATAACTGAGTTAGTCAGTTATCTTACCGATAAAATAAACAATATATATGAACTTAATATTTATCTTAATCCCTATTTTTATACCTATGAGACGTCGCGCTTCGATCTGTTGTTAGTCTGTTTCAGTTTTCACGCGTGACAGTTTCCAGTACAGTGTTAAGTGTAATAATAAATAATAACACATTCATTCTATTCTTAAATACTATTTAAAAAAAAATCTTAAAATATAAAATAAAATTTAATATTGTATTATTAGTAGATTAGGTTATTAAAAATGAAAAATAAGCTCATTTAAATTATACTCGTATTATGTATTTTATGGTAATTAGTAATTATTGTATCTTTTTTTTTTTTTGCATATAGTTAATTGTATCTAAAATATATTTAATATTGCTAATAATTTAAAATGATTTCCTATCATGCATGATGCAATTTTATAGTTGTTAAGACATTATCCATAAGTCCTTGGCTAATGTCATATTAACCGGTTAATGTTAACATTAGCCGGCATTTAATAATATTCATGGCGGGTAATGTTAACATATGGCTAATGTCGACATTAGCCGGATAATGTCGACATTATCCGAATGTTAACATTACCCGTGACATATACACAGTGGCGTATTTACGGGGGGGGGGGGTTCCCGGGTCTCGACTCCCCCCAGAAAAAAAATAATTAAAAAAATCATAAATAGCTTGCTATTGCTTGCTACGTGGTAACGAGAAAAAATAATATTAATTTATATTATGTGTTTTTAATGTTTGTATTACAATATTCTTAAAAATAACTTTTGGTTATTTTTTTATCGCGTCGTCACCATCCGACGACGATAACGACGTAATATACCTATATATAATTATATTAGTATGCTGTCTATTATAATTTATAAACTATAGTAGACAGTCTGCGATTGTTTGGTATTAATAATATTTCAAATATTTGGCATTTGCAATTTGTTATTGACGGCATCGACATAATATAATCACGTTTTTCGAATATACGAACGACGAACACTTAACAAGAAAATAAGGACGTAAGGTAACTATTAATTTCTAATTTTTAATTGATTTAATTTACAAACAGTATTGTTTAATGTAAAGTGTAAAATAAAAATACATTAGGTATACATAATACTAATACTTATATTAATATATTTTATATGATATTATTCTAAACAGATCACAATTATGACTTCTAAAAAGCAACCCAATATTCAGTCTTTTTTCAAATCTACTATAAATGTTTTACCTATACAAGAAAAAGTTGATGATATACAAAATAAAACAGATTTTAGTTAGGTTATTGAGGAAGTTATTGAAGAACTAGCGAAAAAAAAAGACGTTTACCTTTTTTACTATGAAAACTATTAAAACTATTAATTGACATTTATTTTCATAATAATAGTGAAATATAATATAATATAAATAATATCATTATTAAATCATAACTCGTATGTATTTTATTATAATGTTATAAACCTGTATTTAATATTAAGACCCCCCCCCCACAAGAAAATTGAAAATACGCCACTGTATATACATTATATTTCATTTATCTTATTATATCTATACTCACCGTTTCAATTTCTTGCATTTTACTTTTGTATGGTTCTCCAGAGAGTCGACTTTCTTTGAAAATATCCAATAACAGTGTATTCAAATTATCGAACATTTCATTTGACTATTCAATAAAAAAAAAAAAACAAATAAATAATTTTGAACACATAATTAATTATTTTATTTTATTTTTATAGAACATTAGGTGATCATATATCAATTCTACACAAAATGCATATTTATTAATTATTCTCTTACTAAATATCTGCATAGGTAATAATTAATAGGTACCTATATTATAATATTATGCAATCACAAATATTATAGACTCTTCATTAATTTATACCTTTAAATGGCTATTTACTTTAAACGTGTATTATAAATATCAATATACTTTGTTACACGGATGGACTAAGAAAACATGAAGCATTCAAGTATTACCTATTTATACGAAAACATAACTATATAGCCATTATGACACTATGACTATCTATGTATTTCTATTGATATTCTGGTTTTTACAATAATACTCGAAATACGTTTTGTACACACAATGGTTCACATTGGCTTCGAAAATAAATTGCGATAAGCGTTCTAAACGTTTAAAAAATGCGTCATTTAACAGTTGGATTTCATGAAAAATAATCAAGATCATATTATTATTATTATTATTGTTTTCCATTTTAAGTGTTTGAAATATTAGAAAAAAAGACATCGCATCAAAACCTCATTGCCCAGCCTTGCTCGCTACCTATACTTATTTTTACTCGTTCATCACCGTATATTATTTAAACGTTTTTCATTTTTCGTACCTATTTAACATTTTAAATTATAGATATATTAAATCAAACGGAGGGGAGTCTTGGGATGCAGGAAGTGAAGCAAGCAAGAACAGCGAGGAGGCCCATATGTTTGTATTTTAATCGCGGTGGACTTCACGTCTCGAGGTTTTTTTGTCGACCAACTGCAGTATTTACAAGACAGTATATCAATATATCATAGTAAATTGGAAACCGACGCCAAGGTAGGTATAGGTACTATGCGCAGAAGGCAAATATTAAAATATAATTTGACGCGTTATGATACAATTATAATACATATAATGCGCGCGTATTAAATAATATAGGTATATAACTAAATATATAATTTATGATATAAATACTAATATATAACTAAATCGCATACGACTAAACCAAGTCGAAAGTGTCATCAGTGGGTGGCTTCTTTCCTCAAATTTATGTACATCACCTTATTTGTTTATCTATTCCTTATCGCACATAATATACCTATACTTATTACATCTAAGCATAGGCGGAAATCGGGGGGGGGGGGGCTAGAGGGGACTAAGCCCCCCCCAGAAGTTTAAAGTACAGGTCTTAGCCCCCCCCTGGCCACCACAATTTTAATGTGACTAAATATACAATAATTATTCTAATTGAAAAATTTATTTTTAATATATGAATCACAAAATAAATTGTACAAAAAATATTCTATGACAAAAATTAAATTTTACAAACTTGTCATAACATGGAACGATCATGATAATTTATACTTCGTAATATACTATTATTAATAATACGTAATAATACTCTGTTTTGAAATTACTGTTGTAAAAAACTACTTAACATTAACAACTGGAAAAGATGATATCTCCTTAGAGGATTTAAAAACATTTATTGTCAAGAATGTCTACCCAAATATATATAAACTTCTACAGGTGACTTTAACTTTACCAATAAGTTCAGCCACCTGTGAACGTTCTTTTTCTGCAATGCGCCGAATAAAAACTTGGATGCGATCTACAATGGTTGAAAATAGATTCAATGATCTTTCTATTTTAAACATTGAAAAAGATTTAGCAAAAAAGATTAATAATAATGATATAGTTAATGCTTTTTCGAATAAAAATCGATATATTGTATTGAAATCAATATATTAGATACACTTATTATGTTATATACTTGACTTCTTTGTTTTAACATCCAATATTAAATTGGTTATAATTCGATTAATTTAATAACTTAATGATAAAATTTCTGTTGAGAATAAAATGTCCAAGGTAAGGCACATTATTGTTTTTGTACTGCGTATTATGGTTAAATTGTTTAGTATGTCAAACTTTTAAATTGTTTTGTTGAAATAAATAATTGCGAGTGACTTAAGTACATTGGTGCCTATATAGGTGCAATGAGAAATATAATACTCAGCCCCCCCCCCCCAGTAATTTCACCAAATTTCCGCCTATGCATCTAAGACATAGATTGTATATTTTCTTATTATAGGTATAATGTAATACGTAGGTATATAGGTACTTGAGCGGTGAGCTCGTCGCACGTGTACGCCAAATAGGTGAACTGTCCGAACCACACGACCAATTGGACGACGACAGCCGGCGACATGTTGGTCCTCGCTTCCGTGTCATCGGTCAGCCGGTGGAACACCGATATGGCCACGTACGTGACGCGGACGGCGGCCAGCAGGACGGCCGCCATGAGGTCCACGCCGTAAGCGCCGCACACGCCGTCCGTCGCCAGCCCGGTGATCCGCCAGTGTCTGCGGGCCAGCTGCGCGATGACGTCACTTCGCGGGGCCGTACGGTCGGCGTCATCGCCGGATGACGGTCGGACGGGACGCCGCGGCCCGACCGCGGGCATCAGGCCAGTTACGCCGCGGTTGACGGACCGCATGCTGCTGTTGGCCACGGCCAGCAGGGCGGCCGCGGCGCCGGGAAAAAAAAAAAAAAAAAAAAAAAAAAAAAAAAAAAAAAAAAAAAAAAGCGGCCATCGCGAACTGCGCGACCGGAAACACCGGGATCAGGTACGCGTGCCACGGCACCGCGCACCTGATCGCGGCCGTCGCGGCACCGCAGTCGCCGTCGCCGCCGTCCGAGCGTCCGGCCGCGGTCGCGTTCAAGCACTCCGCCGTGGACCGCCGCCGCCACGCGACGGCCGCCGCCAGCGCGCAAACCTCCGACGCCCTGTCCAGCCAGGCCACCGCGTAGTACACGCACGCGTACACGCACCACACGCCGCCGCACACGGTGTCGTAGCACGAGGCCTGCGGCAGGTGCGCGACGGCCCGCACCGTGACCGGCCACGTTTCCGCGACGACCCGATGGGCCACGGACGCCAGGCAGACCGCGTTCCAGGCGAGCGTGCCGGCCAACCGCCATCGGACGGCCGCCGTGAATCGGCGTCGCGGGCGGTCCGCGGCCGTCTCCTCGGCCAACACCAGCACCCCGGCCGCCTTGCCCGTCCAGTACACCGACGCGGCCCACACGTCCTGCAGCGCGTCGCCGTGTCGTCCGCGCGCCGCGAACGTTGGCCGCTGCGCCATCGTCGCGTAACGGCCGCAGTGATCCGCCGCGAGACCTGCAGCTAGCGCGCGTAAGGTACGAACTCTGAAATATCACAAAATATCTGATCCTTTTTACCCTCCCCTCCTTTGCAAACCACAAACGCGACGGGAGCTGAGAAATCGTCGTGTTACCGCGGTATGACCGGTATATACGCTGGTCTCTCGATATTTGCGCAGTGATCTGCAGATGTCGTATAGGTAGTTTTGTATTCTTGCAGTTTAAGTTTTGACGAGTACTTTCATCCGTTTCAGCGGCTAATTCGACAACGCGAACAAATATTGAAATATCTTTGATGAGTAATATATAGTATGATAATATTATGATATGACTATCACGGTAATTAAGTGCTGTCGCGAACTATTCGACTTTTTTAAAGATTCAGTCGGCAGACGCAGGTCGGTCTAAGGCGGCGATTAGTACCTACATAGCTATATTACAGTAATATAACGCGCTGTGATGCGTACATAGCACACCGGCCGCGCAGTACGACGGACAACCGAATAAAATGATTATTACCTTTACCTACCTAACCTAATGGTGCCTACTCGAAAACGAGGGTAATGTTATTATTTGGGCGTGTTCAATATACTTAAAATGGCCTACAACAGAATAATACATTTTTATGATATTATTTCATTTCAATCTTTTCAAAATCGTATACTTATCGCATTAAGGTCCGCTCAAACCGAAGCGGTAGCGGTGGCGGTAGCGGCAGCGAAATTTAATGTCCATACGTTTTAATACGAACGCACTCACTATCGCGAAATTAATACCGCGGCGAAAATATTACCGCAAGATTGAGCACGATATTTTTATTTTTCGCTGCAGACACTATATTTTTCGCTTACCGCTACGATAATCAGTTGTAAATTCCCAACTAGTTATCTACATTATAAGTTATATTATATATTATATAGTTATATAGTTATATTATATTATAGTTATCATTATAAGTTATCTACATTTTATTATTAATATATTAATATCTATAGAAAGATTATCATTACATTGTATGATATATTTTGACTTTACATTCAAACACATATCTATTCATCGTACGTATCATTGCAGTTGAATCTAACGTCGTGGTGTTTGAATGTATGAACGATTGTCTTGTTTAAAATTTATTATAAAAATTATAATAAATAATAATAATTATAAATAAATAAATATTATATTATAAATAATTATTTAATAAAAATGACCAATAAAGTTGAACAGTTAATAGCTATTGTTAAAGAATATCCCATAATATATAATATGACACTTCCAGAATTCAAGGATACGAGAAAAAAAGATTATATTTGGGATCACGAAATAAGTGTTAAAATGAACGGTGAAAGCGGTAAGTAAAATATAATTAATCTATAAAAATACAAGTCATTATAATAATAGTTATAAATATTAGTTATGATAAAAAAATGAATCATTATTTATTCATCATTAAAATACTCAACAAAACATTCTCGCACTCGAAAAGCTTCAATTGTACACCTTCTAGGATTATTTGCAATGTTATTCCGTAGTAAAAACGGTTCTTCATCGGCTTCAAGCTCATTGTCGTATATATTACAATTTTGGACTCTCAAATAATTATGTAGTATACATGTTGCCATAATAACCTTTTTTACAGTTGTTTCTTGCATTTCCATTGGCCTCTCAAATACCCTCCATTTCTTCGCTAAAATTCCAAATGCATTCTCTACTACTCTTCGTGCCCGGCATAATCTATAATTGTAAGTATCCTTTTTTCTATCATTTCGTGATTGTCGTCTAGGAAATGGTTTCATTAGATAAGTTTTTAATGAAAAATATAGCAATTTGTTGTTTTGTACTTTAAAATATTAATATTAATAAATAAAAATATAATAATTACTAAAATACATGTACGCGCATGGGTGTCACAATGTCGACTAGTAACTTTCGGCGAAATATTTCGCTCTCCGGTTTGGTTAGATCAGCGGTATTTAAAAAGCGATAAATACCGCTGAAGTTACCGCCACCGCTACCGCCACCGCTACCGCTTCAGTTTGAGCGGACCTTTATTCCCGCGAAATCCTATAAACGCCCACGATGGCCATACCTATTTAATATAATGGCACTATAATGTATTAAATAAATAAATAAATAATGTTGTTTTGATTCGTTTGCTATTGAACTTTACGTTATTATTACGCTATACCAGAGTACAATATTTTAAATATTCAAATCATTGGGCGCATGTCGTGTTAAATTTTTAACTTTTTTTTTATATCAAACGACATCATGGACGGTCTAACTCAGTCACGCGGTTATAACAAATATCAATAATACAATATTCCTTTTTTGGGGGACGTAATATGTTATTATTGTGTCACACGGATGAGTGATAATCGAAGTTATAAGGATAACCTACCAATTTTTTTTTTTTTTTAATATATATATTATTAAATTAATGTTTGTTTTAATATTATATATTAGGTATTATAACTTAAAATTCCATTAACAGTCTAGGTACGAAAAAATAAATTTACATTCCATAATAATATTAAAACAAGTGGCAAGTGCATTACAGTGACATACCAATTTAAATTTAATAATATTTAACTTACATTTTTGCCGTCTTATGTTGCCGTCAAATATCGATATCGAATTTTAATCAGCTAAAATTAAGTTTGTAAGTTGGTCGTCGAGTTTAATAACGAATAGTCAGTTACTTTAAGAACAAGACGTTAACAGTTGTAATTTGAAATTAATATATTATATGTTCAATCTTCAATTATTGATGTCTTTAATTCATCACTTGATAATGATATAACTACTTAGCACTGTCTTTGTACGAGGATGAGTCAGGGCGTCATTTCAGGTTTTTTTTTGGTAGGCGAAATTTCACCACGCCATATAAAAAAATATATACATGAATGTACAAAATCTTGCTTTCAATTAGGTATTTCAAAACATGACATGTACGGAATTATTACATCAATAAAAATGGAAAAAATCGATTTAAAAACTAAAACATACCTAATTAATAATTAACTATATATAATTGGTTTTTATTTGATGTATTATTAATAAATAAGGCCAAGACGCTTTGTGAAAATGTTGACTTTATATTATTAAACAGATAGGTAACTACTTTCAGTATTTAGTACTATTTTAAAAGTAAAGGGTGCAACTGTATACCCCCCCCCCATGACATCTCTTGGATGAGTCCGAGAGCTTTTCTTTTTGTATACGTCTTATTTTTATAATGCAAATTTTGGTACCTATGTGTTGATTATATATATATATATATATATGTTACGCCTTATGCCCAAGCCCGGATCAAGAGCTTCAGGGGCCAATACATGGTTGTGGGCCCCAGTCAATAAAAACAATTCTTTAAAATTATAAAATTATACAATAAAACAAATTTAAACATTTTTATTAAAGTATGATAACGATTGATGAGGATAAAAATATTATATTTTTATTAAAATATACATTTACACATAAAATTAAGTTTTGTTTATGTAAACAGGTTTAGTCGGTAGGTATCTGAATTATGAGTATCCATGACCAAGACAGCCACATAAACAAATTTTCCCAATTCTATTTTTAAATACAGTAATATCAAAATATATGCCTATTCCCAACAAACACAAACCTGGCTATGACGCTATTTTTCCCCACTTACCATACTATTGGTGGTAAACAGGCCCCATCGATTGTTAGCTCAAACAAAAAAAAAATAAAAATATTTTTGTAGGTACTATAAAAAGTACAAATTATCACTTAATGTAATTTTAAACCGAGACAACTATGGGCCTTTAACACACGTGGGCCCCGGGAACTTGGTCCCTCCTGCCCCCCTTAATCTGGACTTGCTTATGTCTACCTTTTGAAAAACTCGTATACCGGATTTGCCTTCTTGGATATTGAATTGATTGGTTTTTAGGATTTAATAAAATATCAAAGAAAAATGAATTGAAATTATATTTTAATAATCAAAAATAATACATTTAGAAATAAACTTTATAGAGAACAGGGATTTTAGTAACTGTACAATTAATGAATTAATACATCGAGTGGGTGATTGAGCGCGTTTTTATGTGTTCTATGATGGGTTTTTAGAGACGATGTTCTACGAGATGCCGCCTTTGCTCGTAAATCGTAATTAAAGCATTTAGATTGCGGCACGACTCAAACACCAGTGTGTTATACGTAAATAATCAGAATATTTAAATACATTGATAATTCTGTAGTGCTTAATTTAATTTCTAAAATATGATTGTCCTCTAATTAAATGAAATAAAGATATAATGTAATAGTAATAATGTACCTAATTACCAATATAATTTATTTTTT